CACAATCTCAAACACATTCTAAACAAATAGTACTAGTAATACTGGCTCCATCTGAGAGGAGGACTCTGGCATACTTGTCTTAAACACTTCCTTTGTTGAGTGTATTTGACATATCCCTATAGCCTAAATGTGGAATCTCTTAATGACGGATTAGCACAGTGGGGTGAAGTATTGTAGTGGTCAGCTGCAGATGTCACTGAGCGCACTCCTTTGGTTTGGTCTCATTAGAATCAAAGTGAAAACTCCTGGAGGTCAAAGATCAGCGCCGTCACAAAGAACTGACAACAGCTCAACCAGATGAAACTTAAACAGGCAAATGAGGGAGGTCCTTAATACAGTAAAGAGTTAGTAGAGCTGAGCTATTTTGGACAAATATCAAGTATTGTGATTAGATATGTGATTTATGTTTTAAAATGATTGTACAGTTTAGATTTAAAACAGACCTAATATGAAAAGCAATGATTATCAGAGCTTTTAAACATGCTATAGTTGTTTGCTCTTCTCATTTACTCACCTGAAGTTGTATTTGGAATGATTTGTGCATGTTTTAGCAATCTTTAATGGCTTATTTTTAAGACGCCATATTGCAGATCAACATTTTCACTGGTAATCAAGCAAATCAAAACAAAACTTCTTTTATATGTTGAAATCAAGAAAACAAAACAAAAACGTGGTATATTTTTTGCTTTGACAATTTTGCTTTGCCTTGCTGCGCTGTATATTTCATGGTTTAAAGGTACAGAGTGTTACTTCATATCATCCCAGGATGATGGGGAAAATTACATCATTGGTCTGGAGCTCTGCAGAACTGTTACATAACCATTTACACAGGGAAAGTTAGGGGGAGTAAAACTTTTGAAATGTTTTGACTGATATAGAAAAAAAGCATTTAAGCATTTAAAGTTTGACCAGTGTAACTCTGTGAAGTCATGGACGATGAAAATAGAACATTTTGTCCCCAAGATAAAAAGGAGGAAAAAGGGAAGCAAAGCATTTAAAGAGGCACTATGTAACTTTTCTAATGGAGGATTCAAAAACCTTCTTTTCTCCACAGAAATGTTGTTTTTTTCTAGCATGTTAAACAAAATGACATAAAACAATATCCATGAAGACAAGCAGGTGATTCTCCTCCACCTAACAGATTTTGAATGCCTGTATTTCAAAAAATGAAAAACAGACAAGTTAATGCCATATTGTGGAACATTTCAGGCAATGCAATGACACACAGTCGTGAACCCTGCACCAGAAAACTTTTAGCCGATTTCACCTTTAAGCAGGTTTGGTACATTTTGACAGACAACAAGTCAAAGCATCTCCAAAACAGCATCTTTTCTGGCCATTCCTGGTAATCTTTGTTTGGATCTGGTTTATGGTCGTCCATGTTTACTTTTGGTCTAGTCCTGGTTTATTCTAGATTTGTTTTGTCCTGGTTTAATTCAGGTCAGGTGTGGTCCGTGTTTAGTCTTTAGTTTAATAGTACTGGTTTAGTAGATATCATAATCAGAAAGTTGTATTGCCATTGTCCGTGAACTAGGAGTATTCTTCAGCAAAATGCAATATGGTGGAATGTAAAACAATGAATAGTAAATATTTAACTACAATCAAATAAAAGGCATAACTAAAATAAGGTGTTAGAATAAAAATAAACGTCAACTTAAAGAGTCGGGAAGATTTGAGGTTCCTGGACTCTTAAATCTTGGTTTAGTCCTTGTTTAGTCTCAAATTGAGTTCCTAATATGTCCTTGTTTAACTCTGACATAGATCTAGTTTTTCCTAAAGTACACAACTGTTAAAGATGCTATACCTTGTTACCACCTTAAAAGTGTTAAAAACAGAATTTGCAGTGGTCCAAAGTTATTCCTCATGTGCGCAACGCTTTCCTAATATCCACATTTTTTATAGTGGTGATTTCTTAAGCACTCTTATTAGTAACTTTCATAGACCAAAGCCACACACTGTGATGTTAACAAATAGCGTGCTAGCAGTACATTAGCCCTGCTTCCTTTTTTGCAGACAATAAAGACACAGCAGTCTCATTTTGACCCTTTGGATCTGCTAAGACAACATATTTGTACTGAACCAAAACAACTTTTACTTACTCACGTTAATTTTACTAATAATTTCTTAAACTACCAGTCTCCAGTGGAGTAGATTAACTTGAAATACTCTGTTCTATTCTTGTGTAATTACTCCCCCCTCCCGTTGTCTCTGCTGCATCCTGTGTTCATGACTGTCAGTCTCTGTCAGTCCATGTTTCCTCAGACTCTGTCCTCCTTTGGGCCAAACCTGCTCAGCCAGCGTTTACTAAAGCTTCCTTCAACCCACTGCACTGTAAACAAGTGCATCCACAAACTTGATGCAAAACAATTTATCCTGTTTAACAAGTTTTGATTAGTTTTGATTAGGGCTACATTGTATATGGCCAGAATATATAGAAGTATATCGATATTGTCTTGTGCTATAAATATATGGCAAGAACATTTTATTAGATGAAATTATGTTGAAGCCAAGAAAACAAAATAAGTCAATATCAAACTGCAAAGATTCAAAATTCAAATCATGTTTTATTTGATTTTATTTTGTCTGATGATGATTTATAAAATTATATATGAGTAGTAATGGGCAAATTTATTGAAATTGTTGAATTAAAATGACTCAAATTAGGATTAGTATGATTTTTTTTTTTAATATCACATATAGTCCATGCACAGTAGTACTTGGAGGTACCGCAACTTCCTAACCTCCTCTTCAGTTTTACACACCAATTCTTGTCAGGGATGGAGGGGTTGTTCTAATAGGAGTGGACAAGACTCAGGGCAAGATGGAGAGATGTGACCAGTTTAAGCCAGAGTCATTTTCAGGCTTCGTTTGAGTAGTTTGTGCAGAGCCAATATCTGGGACAGCTCCTCCGAGTCTGAGGACCAGGGCTGGATAACAGGATATAAGACAATGCATGCTACTGATAGAGATGTCAGAGACTGCTACACTCAAATATGATATATGAACAATTTAGATTAGATAGATAGATAGATAGATAGATAGATAGATAGATAGATAGAGTAATATTAAGAGCCATACTAAATAAAATATACTTTTATCTGCTCAGTATTGTTTTAATTTGAAAAAGGGATATTTTCTATCTTATGGTGGTACTTAGATATTTAGTGAGTTTGCCGCAACCTAAGTTAACCTTAAGTGTAAAAGTGTAACGTTTCTGCTGGTAGGTCTGCCACCTGCTTGTCTCCATGGAGATCTTATGTTCCATTATGTTCCAGTGTATAGCATTTAACTCTCTATCTTGAAAAGTCCATGCACAAATAGTCTAGTATTGTCAGTGCTGTTGCCATGGAGATTTTGAAGTGAACATTTTCCTGAACTGGCAAAAATTCAGACACAGAGTTTATATTTAGCCTCTGCATCGCTCAAGTCCCACAATATTTGGAAAACCTACAAAACCCAACTCTTCTGCCCACTCATGAAGTGAAGAAACAGCTTGTGTTGATTTCAGTGCCTATAAGATCCTTGAAAAATGAGTCAATATTTAACTTATTAATGTGTGAACTCATAGCAGGAGAAGAGAGATAGAGCCTTATTTATTCAGTAGGACTCACGGGCGAGTGGAGGGGCTGTTTTTATTTTAGTAACTACACTTTTTATGTTGTGCAATATAATTATCCTGCAAACCAAATTTTCACCATATACTGTTATAAATAAGTGATTTTCTAGGCACTCAAAGGTAGTAATTAAAATTTGATGATGCTTTCACTTCACAGTCAGACTGATTTTAAACACAGTAGTGAATAATGAAGAAATATATTTACAAAAAACATGTAAAATCCTATGGTTGTTGTTTTAGATAAATAAAATGTAATTGATATACTGACATAAAAAGAAGCACAACCCATCAAATTTATTTAAATGATGAATATATAAATAAATAGTTATAAATGAGAAAGATAATGTTTATGTAGGTTATGTACAAGTGTAGAAGCCTTCTACTTTGAAGCAATCTATTTTGATGATTTAGTTCTCGGTTCCTCTCTCCACCTGTGGGATGCAATAGTCCCAGTTCTCATTTGGAGCTCTGTCCTCGTTTTGATGTTTTAAATAGCAGCTTTTCTCGTTTTTGACCCATATAAACCCGATCAGGAGGTACCACTGTGCAACGATAATGCATTCTCTGATCACTCTATGAAGCTGCTCTACTCTGATGTCCTTTAGAAGTCCTTTAAATGGCAATTCCTGGTTTGAGCTATAGAGGGCAGTATTTCACAGCTCTCCAACTGTCTTGTGTAGATTGTATTATTTTGACAGCTTTTAAAAAATGTGTTATTGCTTGGAATGATAGCAAGTAGGACTAAGATTTTAACTTATACTTAAATCCATTCTGTAGATTTCTTATTATCTGACTTGGTTCATGCAGTTTAAATTTTATTTTGGTTTACATAGGGAGAAAAAGGTATATAAAAAGAGTATATTCTGATTCTGTATAATATTCTAACTTCATTCTGTTGCAAGTAAGGCTGCACAATGAATCGTGATTAAATTCAAAATGCAATTTGATCAGATAATTATTACATCACAAAGTTAAGCTGAAATTAAAGTACAACTGTGCCTGACTGGTCTCGGTGATCTTGTTGCTAGACTTGGTTAGGACTACCTTTGCAGGAGGATTTGACCTATGTTGCATGTTTTGGGTTAATGGGGGAAACCGGAATGCCCAGTTATAGAAAAAATAGAAAAATCTTGTTGTGAAAACTTGTAAACCTCTACGAACGTGTTCTGAAATGCAAGGGATTCTAGTTTAGCAGTTCATATTTCAGTCTTCTCTCAAATGTTAATCCTCCTGGAACAGAATGCTTCTTTTTAAACAGGTATTGCAAATTTAATCGTAATTGCAAGATTCAGAAAAATCAGAATTCAGTTTTTCTGCCCTACTTATAAGGAATTAATTAAATTTATACTCATTGTAACAAGTATGTTCTTCTGCTTTTTTGCAGGATTCATCTTCAAGTAGAGGTTTTGAAAAAGAAGAAGGATAAATCATCAATGCTGCAATGGGATGACACCCAGTGGGCTGGACACTGGATCGCCTCACCAACGATTACTAAATTCAAAGCATAAATTGAGAAGTACACACCTTAGGGTTGTTCGGTAGACTTAAGTAATAACAGATACTCCTTATTGTAAACAACTAGGGTGTGTTAATTGCAGAGTAGTTAGCACCTCCCTTCAAGCAGATATATGGCGGTGACTTTTGTCTAGTTGACAGAATTCTTTTTGCGACATAATGCGAGCTGACTGCTTTATAACTTCTTAAAATAAGTCCAAGGAACAACATATGTGTATGGCTATCTAACTTATTTAGATCTAGGCCCACAATACTATACTATTATAAAAAATGTAATCATTATCTGAACTATACAGACTCTAAAACACATACGAAAAACAAGGACAGCAGTATTATTAAAAGTGAGTGTCAAAAAAGAATAAATAATTTCTGGTTTTCATCAATAATACACTTTATTCATAAATATTCTCTATTTAGAAGCCTTCAGTCACCATATTTCCACTTTTTATTTGGATGATTAATGTATTTAAGGAGTACCAATTTACAATAGAAATAATTATTTGACTAGTCAGCCACAAAAACATTATTAGTTGCGTGCCTATTTAGATACCCTGTACTTTTTCAGCCCAAGATGAGTGGTTCTCAACAGTTGGGGTGTGTCCCTGGCAGGCCCAAAACTGGGTCCAGCATGAGACTGGCTTTGCACAACTCTGGAGACCACAACGGCAATGCATTTCCTATCTCCTCTTCCTCCTCCTCTTCCTCCTCTGCTTCATCGTGTTTGGGCGAATCCTCCCCAGAATCTCTACGAAGTTTAAGCAGTTTAAACAGCCCCGGGCGGATAAACAGTCCCTTAGATTATGACATGTTTGAAGTAACTTTATTGACAACAGTGATTGATGACAAAGCTGGTGACATCGTAGTGACAAAATGGCCACCAGAAGAAGAGGAAGAGGAAAGTGATAAAACAGATTTGGTTTATGTGGAAAGGGTTCAAACTATCACCGACCAATCAGAATCAAATGATAATTCCGTTTCAGTCTACCTAGATGCAAACAGCAGCCAATGTACTCCTGAAATTTGGAATGAAAATATTACTCTTGCATTATCAACAAACAGTGCAACTTCAGAGAGAAATAGTGATAAAAGTAGCGATAATATTAGTCGTAAAAGATCATTAACACCTGATTCAACCACAGAAATACCTGATGACGAAGATGACGATGAAGAAGCCATGTTTTTGTCAATTGGTTCAGATATGGAATTGCAAAGAACTAGCTTGACAGCGATAGTAGCAGCACGGTGGGCTAGCAAAGAAGCTAAGCTAGCTAACAAAGATGAGCGTGATATTGAGGTGATGAACTTCCAAAATACTACGGAGACAGTTTCACCGAGGGAGAGAGAAAACAAAAGTAGTGAAGATTGTACAGCAAGTACCAAAGATGTGGGAAAACAGATTAGTGATGACAAAATTAAGATACAAATGTCGCCCCCTGTCTGTGACAATGAAGAAAAGTCAATAGAAGTCCCCAAAAATGACTTGCAGAAAGCTGGGAAACCAAGAGTGAATGCGATTGCAAGACCTATAGCTTCCAAACCAGATCAGAAGTCAAGGAAAAATAGACCTGAAGAATGTCAAGTCCAAAGTGGGATCATGGGCGACCTCCTCTCCAACAAAAACAGCCAATCAGGTACAAAGAAAAATGTATCTCAGGTTTAACAATATCCTATCTTAAAGGTGCATTTTGTTACTCTTCTGGTGTCTCCATAGAGATAGATACTGTTACCTCTTTTTGCAGTTTACCTCTAAAATTATCCTTCTTTTGTAAATTGTAAATTGTTTTTCTTTCACAGAACAAATCTTCTCCAGTCCACATGAAGCGACCCGCTGCTACCATAAACCCTGTTGCTAAACTCCAGAGACCTCCCCTCAGTCCGATGAAAGTGGCCATTTTAAGACCACTAAAGGGAAAGTCCAGACCGGGCCCAAACCAGAACCCAAGCCCGAACCAGAGAAACCGGTCTACGTCTGTGAGCTCTTTGGGGTCAGAAGAGGCCACTAATGTGGGAGCCTCTAGGAAAATACAAGAGAAGGAAGTAACATGTGAATCTGTAGAGAGTAAGCATCCAAACAGATCTGTGACTGAAGAAACTAAGGGTGAAGATGCTGCAGCCAAGGAAAAGGTCAGTTTGTGTTTTTGTGCATATTTTTTTGTGATTTCTTTTTTTTAAGTTCACAGTTCGCATTTGAACATATCCAGGAGCATTAATATTTGAGAAAACACTGAAAATAAGAATTGCTAGACTATTTAAAGGTGGACTAAGTAACTCCCACCACCTGCTTCTCTCAGTGCATATCTTATTTCTTTGCCTATGACATTAAACTAAAAAATACCTGGAAAAACATGGATTCTTATTGTAAGCAGGGTCATCTCTGTACAGATCAGACCTGCCACCTGATGGAATTATGTCATATTGTGGAACATTCCTAAGTTTTGACAGATATTTACATGATGTGAAATCCTTGTAATCTTTCATGGAGACAAGTAGGTGACATACCCATCAGCAGAAAAGATGGATAGGGCACCCTTAAGTAGCACATGTGCTCCTTGGGAAGTGCATGACAAGCAAACAAAGCACCCTACCAGATCTGTTACACCAGTGAAAATAAGAATACAGATTATATAACTATGGACAAGAAGAGTGCGTGCTAAAGTGTACACGCCTCCCTCGCCTTGGGGCAAATGCATAGGTCACTGAAGGCACCTAGAGATGATGTCATACTGCTCCCAAAACAAAACAATGCCACAGGAACAGATAAGGCTAAAAGGCACAATGTTTCTGTTGTGGAGAACTGAGCTGTAATGCATCAGATGGGTCTATTGTTATTTAATATGGGATCAGTGGGAGCACAATAGACTTAAAGGTGTCATACACTGAGACTACAGTGGAGAATGTGTGAACTTCTTAGCGATGAATGTGTTGGTATTGATATGTGGAAGGCAAAAAAACACCTGATTATAAGGCAGTGCTCATTAAATTAAAGACACACTATAAGACTTTTCAGGTGGGTTGTATGACACTTGCTTGTTTCAATGGAGATGTAATTGCTTGGAGTGTTCCACACTACAGATACTCAATTACGGATGTATTTATTGCTCAAAGTACATTCATTCTCACATTGCCAAGTTAGAACTTGCCACCAGGCATCACCTTCTGCCTGGATAAGTGGGCAAAGCATTAAAAAAAAAAAAAAAGTTACATACACAAAAATCTTTCATCCTTTTTAAATGTCCAAACCTTCTTTTGAAAACATAACCATAACAATTTATATTATTTTTATATATATATTTGTAATATTTACTGTAGGGTACCGCTTCAAAATGTTATGTAAGTGGGACAGTTGTGCGTGGTGGGACAGCTAACCAAACCATAAAAGAATTAATTCAAAACACATTACTTTGCTAAATTTAAGATGAAATTGAAGATTATTTTAATTTACTACATGTTTTTCATTTTAGCTGTGCTGCTAATTAGCCATTTCAACATACTTACTTCTTCATTGTTGCAAGTCGAGGGCAAAGACACATAATACATTTTCTGGTAAAGTGTTTAATATTCTCTTGCATTGTCAAACACAAAACAAAATATATTTATAAAGCAAGATGTGTGACCTTTTTTAAAAAAAAAAAACTATGCTAACATGTTTTTCCTTAATGATTAATAGCTTCTACGTGCATGCAAATACAGATTCCAATTATACTTATGGAAGGAATGTGGACAGCACAGAACAGGTTCTATTTTCTAATGAAAACAATGGACTAAAACAGATTTTCTCACAGAGTTTGACTCACAACAAAGTAACTGCTTATGTTCCTGTATGAATTTAAGATTAACATTAAATAGCCCATGTTACACAAAATTTATTCTTGTGAGCTTTAAGCCATGTTATAATGCTGTTACATCATCAAAAACTACCTCGAATTGTCTTTTGTTTCATTCACACGTTTGAGTGAGCATTGTTAGTCTGTATATCTCCAAAGCTCAAAATGCTTTGTTTGTTGATAGTTTTCAAGTAAACAGCTACATTTGACCTTTAGTTCAGTAGAGATGATCAATTCTAGGGTTGAAACTATGCAAATGATTCTAGTGAATGTGTATGGAGCTTGAAAATACAGTTGAGTGCATGACATGGCATCACAAGGTACAGTTGTTTCTGTTTGAGAGATGAACTCAGCCTAAATATGCCAGGTTTGTGTGTTAAACACATATTACACATAGGTCAGAAAACAGTGTAATAAGGGTCTTCAAAACCACATTCCCATAGGGTAAAGTCTCAATTATACATAATCTAAGGCAATGAGAAAACCATACTTCTCAAATGTAAAAAAGTCTATGACAACTTGACATGCAATCAAACTGTAACTGTAGTAAATACAGTAAGTAGTAGGGAGTAGTATGGAGTCAGAGTTAAGTAAAATATGATATATAACTGGAAATTCAACTTCACTGTTGGATCTAGCCATTGTTCTCCTGTCATATGCTGTCCTCCCAGGTCTTAAGATGTCATGTTTGTGATCTACAGAATTGTGCAAGAAGCAATTGTAATACATTTAAAGGTGCCTTTTTTGGTTCTGTTTGATTCTGTTAAAATGTTATTGCTTTATGTGAAACGTTACACTATATCACCTCCACCTCACCAACAAAACAAACTTTTAATTATTGCAATTTAACACTAAAAATAGTGACATTTCCAAAGTCTGGACTCTGCTCTAAACTGCATGCTTTTACTGACAGAGGGTTGGCTGTAGACCTCTCCAGTAAAGATACCCAAGCTGAACATTGACCATTACAAATGACAGAATCTCAGTCTTGATTAAAATTTGATTAATTGCACAGCTCTATTTCAACAGAAGCAATGTCCATGGAGACAAGCAGAAGGCATTGTCTTTTTGTTGTTGCTGCTTTGGCATGTTTTTAAAAGTTAATACCTGCCCCCCAAAAAATATACAATCAAAATACCTGGAGGACTTCTGCATCACAGGAGTGTCAAACAAATGCATTCAGAGATACTGACTTCAGGGAAACAAATCACAATGTACTAAATATGACGCCTCTAGCAGGTTTGGCAAGGAAAAATTATTTATGCAACATGTGAGCTGATCGGGTCTAGCCCTGCTTTAGTCTAGTTTAGACGGGCTTAATCTGGTTTTGTTCTGAAATATGTTTTGTTTGTTTCAGTTTATAAAGGGCAATGTTTTCTATAATCCCTTTTTAAATTTGCAAAAGTTCTGGTTTAAAGGTACAGTAAGCAAGTTTCTGAAGGTGTATGCATGATTCCATGGAAATAGAAAGAACATCCTTAGCAATATTCCCCTTGGAGATACATTTTATTGTGGAATATTATAGCCAAAGGAACAACATTTCCATGGAAACAAGTAGGAGACCATCCTCCAGGCCAAATAAATGTCAGGTTTGTGGAGGTGCAAGCCAGCTCAGAGTAAGAACACATGGTTTTCAGTGCAATAAACCAAAATGGAAAAAAAAAAAACAACAACAATATGCTATTTATTTATGTCGTGTGGCTAAAAAGTTACATACTCTGGCTTTAAATCTAGTTAAGGCCAGGTTTTTGCCCAATACCATGAACAAGTTCTCTATACATCATTTTCCACCTGTCCATTTGGCTGCAGTTGTGCTCACATTTGTAATCCAAATTCAGTGCACATCTAAACATGTCCGCGAGCACTGGCATTTGAGAGAAGGCTGAAACATGAACTAAACTAAAACAAGAATCCCATGCATTTCAGAACATGTTTGTAGAGGTCTGAACTACAGGGTTAGCAGCCTTTACAGAACAGGAACCCAAAGTGACAAGTGACTAGTTGTTGAAGGCAACATATCAATCATTGTAGCTTTTGTGATTTTCTAGGTGCAACCATTCAAATTACACACACTTTTTCCATATTTGATTTGTTTCTGCCCTTTCACATGCACCATCTCTCTGTTGTTGTTTGTCTCATATTAAACTCTGCTAAACAGCTTTGGGCTCTGGCTCTCTGTCTCTGCCAAGTTGCGTGTTGACACTTGATTGAGTTTGTGTTTGTATTTCACTGTAATCCATCAGCTCTGAGTCGTGGCCTGGATTAAAGTCAAGACCTTTTCAGCTTTAAAGGCGCTGTAGTTGATTTTCTTAAAAAACATGAAAAACTTTATTTTAAACAGTTTGCAGTGGTCCAAAGTTATTCCTCACTTACCCTATGCATTCTGGGCATCCTAATTATTCACCACAATTAATTTATGAGTGTGTTTCACAAAAGTAACATTTTTACTGAAAGGGAGTTTTTGGTAGAATATAGATGGTGTCAAAGTTGTAATTATATTTCTTTAAAAATATTCTTTTTGCATATGACCATATATTATCAAAATCAAAGTTACATTTTCAATTGTGGCTTTTCATCAATTTATTTATTTGAATTAGGACAGTGCATAGTAATTCTCATCTGTCAGCGAGCAGCAGAGTTCACGATGTCAGTTTTTGTACTGATGTATCTCATTGTCTCTACTAAGCTACAAACATGCATTTTTGCACCGTTTTATTAGAGGCTAAAGTGTTTAATATGGAGGTAACCACATTTCAAGGGTTTTGGTAACCATCCTTCACATTCTATACCATAGAGATTCATAAGTGAAAATAAATAAAACTAAAAACTTGGCACAACCAAAAACAACCCAAGGCAGATAAAAACATTAAACATCAATTTAAAATTCTGTTAAAAAAATGTATCCTACATTGAAAACTACTGCGCTTTTGTCTGTGTACTTTTAAAAAACCTAGGCAGTGACTATTTCCTTTTTTCTCAGAGGAACAGGAAGCCAGACTGGGCTCTCTCCATGTGTCTGTATTTATGAAGTGTGAGTGTGTGGGGGAGGGGCACACAGAGAATACCCCATAAGGAAAAATGCTATGCTTCTCTCAACTATAAGCCTGCACAAAATTAAAACAACAGAAATTGCACCCAGTTTATTCACTCTTAATCACTATGGCAGTGGGTTTAATTTGTCATAATTCTGAAATCCATTGACAGGTATATTAGTCCTGCTGTAGATTTGATTTGAACCTGAACAGAACGTGTTTAAGTCTGGGTTTAGTCCGAGAGATAATTAGAGAATTTTTTTTTTTATTTGTAAGTGTGAACTCAACCTAAAATGTGAAAACACTCAGTCTATATGGACATTTGTTGTCAAAATAAGCACTACTCAAAACTACTATAAATACTAAATGTGCACTATAGAAGGCCAAGTTACAGATCAGATCTGTGGAGAAATGACCACACTCACTGTTTTTAAAGATATTTTTGTGCAATATAAACATATGTAATTGCCTGAATGTATGTTAGATAAGTTTAATGCCATAGTGTGGAAAATAAAGGGAAAGAAAAATAACATACCCATGGTAGCATATCCCCCACCTGAAAAGTTACTTAGTGCTTCTTTAAAAATGAAGTAATTTTAACCAGATTTTTTACAGTGTAGAAACATGCTTTTTGACTTGTGGCTTGCCTACAGCACACTGCTACAGCCCCTCCCTCTCTCCTCCTCCTCTCCTCCCCCAAGTCTCTCTCTCTCTTTCCTTCACTGCATTTCCTCTAGTTCCACATTTTTTTACTAAGAAATGGCCAATGCTTTGGTTTCAGTGCGGACTTCTGAACTGCTCAGATGGGACAGCATGACTAAACATCAACTTTTTTTACAGAAAGTATCCACCAAATTGGGAACTACAACTACTTCTACAACTTCTACTAGACCACAAGCAAAAGGAACTAAACTGGGAGTGTGTCAACCTCCAGGACAACAAGGGAGCTCTGGACCGCGTCAAGCCCAGAATGATGGCTCATCGCTGGGGCAAGCTGGACAGAGTCCCCCTAATGCTGCTTCTGGATCTCCGACAAAGCAGAGACCAAACCTGGGTAAGTTTAACATTTAAAACACACGCTTTGAGTACACAGCGTGCGAATGTGTTACAACTAGTCATTTTGTCAGTTCTGAATTCCTGCTGTCATGCAAGTCTTACAGTCTACCAAACCTATCATTTGACATTGGTACAGTGGCCAGGAGTTTTAAGTAAGAGGATTGTTATACTTCTAAATTGAACACATATGCTTTTGCTGTGGGGAACATGAGCCAACAGCATGCAAATGATCACAACTCATCATTGTTAAGAAAAAAATGTGAATTATGAAACTGGATCTTGATTTCAATAGATTTGACAATAATCACTGATCTATAACTAATAGTCAATATTAAATGGCCTATATTAGGCTATTTTCTGATATCTTATAATGTTCTTTCCTCATTTGAAACATACCTGGAGTTTTGTGTTTTGTTTCATTCACACAACACACAAACACTGCATATTTAGGCTGAGTTCTTCTCTCAAACTGAAAACACTCTGTTTCACCTTGTTATGTACAGGAAGTTGCTCCACTGTGTTTTAAACTTCATACACCTTCACTAGAATCATTTGGATGATTGCAGCCCTGGGTTTGCCCATCTCTACGAAGCATTTTGAGCTTTGGAAATGCAGACAGGTTAATATTGCAAGATTACTCAAGCATATGTGAGCTTAAATCTCACAAGAGTTTTGCTGAATATAGGACCTTTAATCATTTTACATTAGAAGTGTCAAAAATGCAAGGAAAACCATTAACATAGAATATTATCGTTGGATGTATTTTTTGCAATTTGTGTGAAGAACCACTGGTATAACTAATAATTATTTTACATTTGAGCTGCCAAAATGTTTTACCCATAAAATTGTATTGTTACTTCAAAATTGGAAACACATGTATTTGCAAACAAGATACAAATATTTCACAACTACTCATTTGGTCAGTGCGAAATTCCTTCTGTCAGTTGTTCAACCATCCAAGTCTATTTAGTCTTCGAATGGTTTATGATGTATTGTTGTAACTGACTGGCGTCGCATGTAGGGTTGACGGTTTGAATGTTTTCCATGCTGCTGTTGTGTTCTTGGGCAAGACACTTCATCCACAATGCCCACTCCACATAGAGATATGTGGTAGGAAGGTCATCCGGTGTAAAACATTTACAAAATGTGGTGTACCAAAATGTATACGTTTTGGTTTTAATACAGAATCATTTTGTTTTCCTACTTTATTTATTCTATTTTGCCCAGAACAGATTTTTTAATTGCGAAAAATTCTTTAAGGTGCACCGGCTTGTCAAAGCCTGATCCCGTCAGATCTCAGAAGCTAAGCAAGGCTCGGGCCTGGTACTTAAATGGGAGACCACTGGGAAAATCAGGTGCCACAGTGGGTGCCAGTCGTTGTGTCCTTAGGCAAGGCACTTTACCCACATTGCCTAGTATGAAAGTGATGTGTGTGTGTGAGTGTGTGTGTGTGTGTGTGTGTGTGCGTGTGCGTGCCTGCGTGTGTGAGTGATGGTGGTCAGAGAGACCAATGGCGCTGATTGGCTGGCAGCTGCACTTCCGTCAGTCTGTCCCAGGGCAGCTGTGGCTACAATAGTAGCTTACCATCACTGTATATGGAGTGATTGAATAATTCTCTATAAAGCAACTTTATGATATAAGTCTGTGGAAAGCACTCTTTATAAATAAAGACTTAACTTGCTTACTTACCATGTAATTTTTCTGTTGGGGGGCTGTCACCTGCTGTTATTGCTTTGTCTGGACTGTTCCACAGTATGGCATCGTGCAGTTATTCAATTGCAGGTAAAAACTTTGTTCAAACTACAAAACTACAAAAAACATGCATTCTTACAATGAGTGGGCTTACTTCTCCACAGATCCACAGAGAATTGTAACTTGGCTTGGTCACTTGCTTCTTACCATACAGAATACAGATAGATCAGTCCATACTGTGGAACAATATAGGCAAACAATTGCATTTCCATTGTGACAAGCAAGTAGCAGACCCTCCACCAGAAAAGTTAGAAAGTGCACGATTCATTTGATATGACACAAAATAGCTTTCAGTATTGTTTTCCTGAATAGAAAAACAAAACAAAACATTTTAATCTTTAACATGTCAAATCCTCCAAAAGTCTGACCTCTGTTCCAAACCACATGCTTTTCCTGACAGATCATTCCATTATAAAGACTGAAGCGTATTATTGACAGTTAGAAGTTACTCAATCTTAACCTTGAGTAACGGTGCTGTACCTGATTTTTACTGTCTTAAAAAAGGTATTTCTCATTTGCCTTATTAATTCTGAGCATAGTGTGTTGGCCCAGTATACAACTAGCATGCAAACAATGCTCTTCCTGATGCTATGATAAAATACATATAGCACACAGCTGCCCAATTTTTACCTGCTTATACAGTATATCTGTAAAACTATTTTTTCTCACTTGCCCATAGAAAAAAAATCAGGTACAGGCCCTTTTAAATTTAATTAATTGAACAGCCCTATGCATAGTAGACTCAAGAATCACATTGCCTTATGGAGCAGAGTTAAATGGCTGTTGCATTCCTCTGTGCGCCTGTAGAAGGATTTCCTACAGACTTAAAGTGGAGCGGTGAGAGACAGGCATGTGCTGTGAAAATGGTACAGCAGTGTATGTTTGTTTTATATGTATGTGTGTTACATAAGACTTTGAAGATTTGTTTTTGAATCTAAGCTGTGAAGGAGTAAATAAAGTAATCTAATGTTATTGCGTTAGAAGTATAGGATTACATTCTTTACCTTTTACTGGTAGTTTGCAAAGAAAATCAGTTTGACCCTACTCTAACAGGGTTGCGTTCACGTGTCGTCACAGTTTTCTAGAATCCCCCATGAACATTGAGCTGGTGGACAGGTCAGACTGCTATGGTAGAATTTGCTTTTGTTTTGTTTTTTTAAATCTGGTTTATGGTTATTATCTCTGTAATTACTGGCTCTATCCACATGAAACAAAAATAAAGTTCTCTGTCTTCTCTGTCTTTGTGAAAAATAAAGAAAAAGGGAAATACTTTATTTCACAATAGCATCATAGTAGTAGCACCATTATTCAACATCAAAGATGTGATTGTTGTCAGTTGAAATTCTTGCCATAAGATTAATATGTCAAATTTGTGGAGCCAATCCCTTACAAATAATGATAAGGCCATGCCCTTCATCTGAAACTATAGAGTCATTGTTGTAAAATGTGAACATAACCCATTTGATTCTGTTGTTCTGTTTGTCATCGTTTTAGGCTTTATTTGATATGACAAATATAGGAGTAAATAAAGCGTCATTAAATGGCTGGAGTCTGGGTTTTAACCAATGGCAAAAGGCGGTCTTTAGTTCAATGACTGAAAGGGCTATGTGGATGTAGTGTCTTGCTCATGAGTACTACAGCACACAAATTCTTAGTAATAAAATACATTGACTTTCTGCAATCGTGAAGAATGTGATGGAAATTCCTGTCATTTTCTGCATATTTTTCATCTTTGCCTAAAGGAAATTAAACTTGACTGTGGATATAGAGGATTTTTTTTGTCATTTCTGTACACACGTGAGCTCTGTTTGGCTGGTTTCTGTCTGAGTCTGAACCCTATAATTCTCTGAGTCTGTGTCATTATCATCAGAGGCTCTAAACTGGAGGGGCCATAAGTGTGTCGAATGCAGTCAGAACTAACCACACCCCACTAACCTGTCCATACGCTGAAACGATGTTAGACTTTAATTGAAAATAGGTAGAATTCAGAACAAAATTTATATTTTTAGTATGACATTAAATCTGTTTTATTTAATGTAGTATCTAGAAAAACAAATTAGCAATGTTACTGTCAATTGTGTCGAGAGATTTTATTTATATATTACTCACCATTCACTCACTCACACACCATATTCATACTAAGTACTGTCCAGGCCTAACCGCCACTTCAAAGATCAGTCAAGGTCGAGCATTAACAAGGAGCTTTGACCGTTGTGTCAAGAAGTCATCAGATGATCTGCACATTAGTGATATAGGAGGAGATGGGGAGAACGCGGGTGTTCCTCAAAATCTGATGCAGTGTTTTGAGAGCTATAGCGCTCAAATGTACAATAACAAGCATTAAATGGATCTTACTGTAACTTGTTATATCTTATGCATTCATCAATTCTGTACATTTGGCTGTAAGTTTTCAGTGAGTGGGCACAAGTCAGATGTCCTGCTAAAGGTCACATTGCTCTGGACAAAGCCTCTTCTGTTTCTTTTTCCTCTCTTTTCTTCCTTCTCTCTCTCTCCCTCAATCTCTCTCTTTCTCTCTGCTTTCTGCTTTTTGAATTGGTCACTGTTGAGTTTCTCCCTGAAGAGACTGTCAGAAGATGTTAATTTGATCAGCATTAAAGTTGCCATACTTTTTTTTCCTCCATGTATCTGAGCAGAATTACTCTTGCCCCAGTATACATTAGCATGCTATCTTTTTACTTTACTGTGACAGCAAAACTCTGTTTTAATCTCTGAAAGTTGCAAAATGCACTCATAAACTCATCGTGGGGGAATATTTACAGTTGTCAGATTGCGGTGAGGTATAACTTTGGATCACTGCAAACTGTTTAAATTGTACAGTGTCTTTTAAGATATAAACTAAGTATGTGTCACCAGGTTGGCAGTTATGAAGGCTTTGAATAATAAGCTTTGAATTGTAATGAGACTAACACTGGGTTTATACTAACTGCAAGGCGGGTCTGGTACGTACTTTGAGTGGGTTACTTGCAGAGGATGAATCAGCTATAGGCTTACATTTGAGCGCCGCTACTTCATGTACTTACTACTTACTCGTAAGGTTGCATTCCACTTTGTGGTGTTCTCCTGAATCATCCTTGGTTCCTCATTCCTCCTTCGCTCCTTGACAACTGCTGCTCCCCTCGCACATCAGTGGGTCCATCTCCTCTTCAGCACCCTCGTCCGTCTGTCATTACTGTCTGTATTCAGCTGCCTCTGCCTCTGTACATCGTTGTACTACTACGGGTCTCGTGCTGCCACCATCCCGCCTTCAGACCGACCATGTTCTTTTTTTATGGTTTGTAGATACAGGTACAGGTGCGCCGATTATGGAGCACTCAGGGTTGACGCAGAAGTGCTCAGGTGACAAGGGAGTATCAAGGCGATCATGGGAATAAAACTAAAACTCATAAATATATGCAATAAAATACATAATATGCAAATTATAAAACCACAGCCAAAATATACTGTTAAAACCTGATAAAACATCTGACATTTGCAGGTAGGCTTTAACATGAAAAAACAAGACAACTTCAGGTTTGTTTTTGATGAGGAAAGAACCTTATGATGGTTACAAGGTTAAAATATTTAAAAAGTCAGTTTAGCAGAAACATGACTGTAGTGTACACTTGTGGTGTAAGCGGACTGTGCCTGTCTTACCTAACACGGTGGTTTCAGAGGTAACTCGATCCAGATGTGAATCCAAATGAAGCCAGATGTTTCCTGTCCAACCTCTGCTCCACAACAGAGTGTCCTCTGTGAGCTAATGCTAATGCTAATCTCAGCTAATGTGAGGAAGCACGTGCTGGTTTTACATTGAGTTTTACACTAACAGGATTTTTCTTGAGGACACTCACCTCCTTTGTGTTCATCTAGAATGGTCAACATCTCTACACACTAACTGAATATTCAGAGCAGGGAATTCATAATTGCTTCATGCAACGTAACACCATCAGTTACTTAACCAAATTTACCAGATATTGTGATCTGAATTCAATTGTCTAAGACCGTGTTCATGGTAGTGTTGTCGTGATACTAAAATTTTTAACTCAATTTCGATAGTCCTACTAAGGATTCGACTCCATATTTATTCCAATACTAAGACAAAACTATGACTAAATCCAAAACTAAATCTGGGTTTCACCACAGCTACAACAGGACTAAACCAGGACTAGGACAGGACCAAACCAAGCATTATAAGATTAGCAGTTGTGAACATTTCTTGTAGTCCTCATTGTGGGATTGAGGTCTTATCCCTTCTTAAAGATGTTTTCCTTTACTTATCTGCTGTGTCTTTGTTAAAATCTTTTGTCTTCACTCAAACCCACTCACTCTTGTTGTGTCAGATGCCCTTCCATTCCAAATCTGTGTTGTTTTGACTGAGATTGGGGCAGGTCAAATGTCTGTAGTTAATCTGCAGATGTTGTGGTGTGGTTGGATAAATATAGCAGGAAAATGGACATTGTTGCTTGTAAAAATGATAAGGTTTGATGTAAAAATACCATACAGAAATATTGACCACAAAGGGACGTGAAAACATTGTTGTCTGAAAATGAACACTGCTACTTATTCGCTAACTCTCTACTAATGTGATTCACATTGGTGCATTACAAGGAGGAAGGCGTCATGTTTCTGGGGGACCTCCTTAAGTCCTGGTTTGGGGATGGAACAAATGATTCATGGCATAAAAATGTCCAAGCACTTTGAAATTCACATCCACATTGTTTTCAAATTACCAGTTTTGTTCTTTGGTTATGTAACTGAATGGACACTTTGCGTGTGTCTTACGTACTAAAGCATAATGCATGAGGCAAGATGTACGGATAAGTTAAGGTTTAGATTTAGAACCTCGATGTCGTATTTGCTTAAAGAGGGGGTATTGTGCCAAATCGATTTTTTTGCAATTTCTACTAACGTTGTTAGGTTAATACCCCATAGAAGTAAAACACCCCCTGTTTAAAATAATTTATATATTAACCATTTTTCTGAGTTTCCTATGTCTTGGTGTGTTTTATCTGCATACTCCATTTTCCTTCAGTTTTTCAGGTACCAACCTCCTGACCAAAGAACTAGTCCTCTGCTCCTCTCAGGTTTGCCCCAGCAGTATTAAATGATGGGTCAAATGCAGAGAACACTAAACCTGACCTAAGATTGCCTTTCAAATAATGAATTCACTATTTTTTTCTTCTCCAGGTATACCCAAACCTCGCTTTGGTGCAGACCGCTCCTTGGCCACCACTTCCTCGTTCACTTCCAAATCGTCGACCAATCAGCAACCTTCGTCTGCACGCCCCGCCACTGTAACTGCGGCATCCAAACTTCCTGTGAAAGGATTATCCACAAGTCTCAGCTCCTCATCTCTGGGAAGCAACGCTAATGAAAACAATGGAGGAAAATGTACGAAATGGAGGAGATATGATAATGAAAAAGCAGTTTTTGACACATACATATATTTTTAAAATATCTTATGAGAAATCTACTTTAATGAGCTTTTAACCATGTTATAACAGTGATCCCTCATCATCTTACTTAGAGCTGTATTTTGAGTAATCCCATTTTGTCCTGCATTCAAGGCTTGAGTTCATAGAAAATGTCTGTGAAGGTAGGGCTTCTCAGTTCTATTGTTTGGAGAATGGATCTGTTGCTATTATTGATACGTCTTAGAAACATTTAACGTGAACTAATAGGCTCTATTTATGCTTACATCACAAACCAGGAAGATGTTTGGGGCTCGGTTCGGTGTAGTAAGTCTGACTAAATCAAGGAAAAATGAGAAAATGGCCCAGTTTTCTTTTATTTTCTGTCATTGCAGCATTCCATTATGTTCAGCTAATCAACAATTACAGCCATACCTCAGTTTTCATAATTTTCCCACTGACACACAACTCTGAGCACACTGGGTACATGCAATTAGAAGAAATGAGGGAGCCAAATTCAAGATGAATCCAAACAGCACATATGTATGCACTCTGATGACATTTACTTCAGTGGGTTTTATCACAGTCAGTTAGTGAGCCCGGTGTCGGTAACTACACCAGAAGTTGTAATTGCATCTTTCCAAACGTCTTTCTGATTTGTGACTTCAGCGTGAATAGAGCCTGCATTTGAGAAAGTAAAAATCAGACACAGCGCCTTTAAGACTGAAATGTGAGATAAGTATGAGATAGGAGGCTTAAGAACAGTTTTTTTCCACGCACATAGAGAGATAAGTTAACTCTGTACAATGATAGCTGTTGTTTTTCTTTTTGGAGTGGCTTCCTTTTCACTGATGATTTAATCCTCGTCTTCCTTTTCTCAAAGATTGGGGTAGTTTTTTTTACACATACCATTACAATGAGATAGACCATAGAGCTTGGGAACCTATGTCATTAAAACAGCTTTGTTCAAAGATCCATTAACGAGGGACAGCAGGCAGCAACATATCCCTGGATTTAGGAATGGTGAAAAAAATTACCATTGCCATAGCGACTGACAATTTTAAAGTAAAATATTATATGTTTTGAACTGTGAAAAATTCTCAAAATGTTGTATGTAACAGGAGTCTTGACACCCATAATTAGGCCCACTTTGCAAATAGCTCGAATCATTTAAAGTATGAATTCTCTGGGAAGCAAATGAGAAACCGAGGAAACTAGGGCTGACCCCAGTGAAAAGTACTCAAAATGGCACCTATAAACAGGAAACTGAAATATTGTTGTTTAAAAGTGTATTTCAGTAAGTCAGTTATTACAGATTTGTTGCTTGTACTCTGGTGGATATACTGATATACTGAATATACTGTAGGAAAATTATCATAGGATAGAAGTGTCATTTTTCTTTAGGAAAAGTTTTACACTGTTGCTATATCAACATATCTGTAGTCATGAGGGCTTGGAGAGTTGTTTATTCTTAAACACATTAATGTTCAAATAAGAATTAAAAGTAGCAGCAAAATGTTGAAATCTCAAAGTAATTTACAGTTAAGAATGTAAAACAAAACTGCAGTTCAGGACAAGTCTCCGACAAAGACACAGAAAAGTGGAAATTCACAGTGGAAAAACACAAACAGGGCAAGAAAACCTGAATACAATCTGTATTTTAAATATTAGTTTGATTATTTTCTTTAAATTATTGTCAACAATACAAATATCCTGGAGAGGGTTTACAGAGAACTGCAGAGCACCGGTTTCTATGGACCTGAGTAGGACCTCAGAGTAGATGCCCACAAACACACATCACATAGCTTTCAAATGACCATAGCCTTCCTTAAAATTACAATTAATCAACTAATTTTTTGTTGTTTTGTAAGCTAATGGTAAAACATACTAGACATACTAGTAACTGCACTTATTCATGCCTTAAGAAAGCATGAACAAAGACTTGGATAATAATAAATAATAGTTAAGAATGCTTCAGGCTTAGCAGTGGCTCTAGTGGAAACCACTGTTGTGTCCTTATGCAAGACACCCACCATGGCTAGTATGAATGTGGTACCTGAAGTGAATGAATAATGCAATGTAAACTTCTTTGGGTTTCTTGGATGGCACTATATTAATCCATTGCTTTTCAGTACTTAAATGTGTGTCTGCCTATAGATATAAAATAAACATTATTCTTCTCCTCCTCCTCCTTGTCCCAGTACCTCCAGCAGCAGGAGCCTCTGAGTCAGATGAGCGTCCCAACAGAAGTGCGCTTCCTGTGGGCAGCCAGAGCACTGCAAGGCCCCCCGGCTCCAGTGATGTCAGTAAAGCTTCACCAATGAGGAACAGAGCTTTGTCTTTGCAGGCCAGACCCCCAAATACAGGTATGGATAACTGTGGGGTTTAGTAATCATTATACTTTAGGACTAGGTGAAAGGATGCTCAAATTTATTTGTAAAACAGTTTGTACAAAACTCAGTTCCAACTGCTTTACAAACCACAAAGCAAAATAAAATAAAATCACCACACTAACATTGCAAACAAGTAAAAGCATAAACAATAATTTAAAAAAAATTACAAGTGCAGATACAGTTCAAAGCTGCATTACCTAATTTTCCAGCTGTAAAAGGAAAAAGTTCTAAAACTCTCACAAACCTCTGACATATTAGAATTAGAATTCACATGCACAAATCTTTGGGCCCATTCAAACGGTGAGGCAGGGTGGAAAAGTTGAGTACTACTCTTTTAATGTAGTTTTATGCTAAAATATAATTAAAATTTTAAAGACAAGATGAACTGTTGTTTTCATTGATTTTATGTATTTTTTTCACCTACCACCAAATAGTACAAGGGGGAAATATATGTTATTGCTTGGAATTTTATACAGTATGGAATAATATTATCAATATTCATGGTGACACGCAAGCAATGTCACCAGGTCAGGTAACAGGTCACATCTGTGGAGAGGCAACCTCACTCACAGTAAGAATGCATGTTTTTCAAAACATCCATTAAATAAAGCAAGATGATGAGTTCAATGCCATATTGTAGAAAATTCCAGGCAAAGCAATAACATCTCCATGTTATTACATCTCCATTGAGAGAAGTTACATTGTGCACCGTTAAAGAGCCTTAAACCTGTGTATTGATTATTCCTGTGTTTCTTTAGGTCTCAAAGCTCCCTCTGTCAGTAACGCCAACTCAACAAAGTCTGGACCTTTGAATATAGCAGGCACTAGGACCCCTCCATCTGCTGCTCAGAGTCCGACCAAGCAGGCCTCCCAGCATCCTCTGCAACGGAGTGGCTCTGCAAGGCTCAGCCGCGTCAACAGCACAGGTATGGAGTAGGACCTGGGGTCTTTTTCATGATTAGTAAAAGTATGTGGTTTGGAGCACAGTATCTGATACTGCTGCTGTGGCTGATTACCAATATTTGCCAATACTGATTCTTAGCTTTTAAAATTCATATCATACCCCACAAATTCATCTTGTTGAAGTAAAGATTACAAATTAGCATTTGGATGATACCAATACTGGAATCAATATATCACTCATCCATTTCCATTTATTTTTTGTGTTTAATGGCAATGATTATTGTAAAAACATTTTGTGTTTATACATAGAGTTAAACAGGCGTTTGTGATTTGGCAGTGAGGCACCCTGCAGGTGTGTCGGGAAATTATTTGGACATTCATTAGATTGACTTGTAGTCTTGGCTAAAACTTCAATTACAGCTATCCATCATTATGAAGTTAATTGCAGTTAATTGCTTTGTTTTGAGTGTTTGAAATGGGTTTAGTGACGTTATGCCTGTTTCAATATCAGAAACAAATGTGTGAAAAATACCACAATAAAAAACAATAGTACTGAAACTACATTATGCAACAGACATAGTAACCCCATTTCTAAATATTATGTTGCATATAATATTGCATTTAAAATTTACAAAATATAAAATAATGATCCATGTGTTGTGTGCTATAGATGGCAATAAGCAAAATAAATCTTGTACAGATACAGCGATACAGATATATTGTATGAGCAGCTCTTGAGGTCAAAAATATCTGTTGTGTACTGCATCAAATTATGAAGCGTTTTAATGTCCATTAATAATGAATTATGAAGTGCGTGTGAGCACGCGAGTTGTTGTTAGCGTTACTATCGCTGCAAAACTCCGTTAAGGTTTTTGAAGGTTATGAATAGCGATTATAAACTCTTTGCGGTAAATAATTAGGATGCGCAGAAGGCATAAGTTAATTTAGGAATAACTTTGGACCACTGCAAACTGTTTAAATTAAACTAGTTTTGTTTTTTTGCTTTGTTCAAATAGTGAAAATCACATACAGTGGCTTTAAATCTTTTGCCTATTCAACCCTCTAAAGACCAAATGTTATTGTATTGAACAGCCTCCTAAGATATTGTTCCATCAATCATTGATTGAACAATAAGTTGATATAGCACTTATCGCAAAAGGCTTATGTGACGTGAGAGACTACATTTAATATCAGTTCTTTTGTATAAATACAGTTATTGTGTTACATTGTTTATTTTCATTGTATATACTATTGTGTTGTTTGTAGGCTTATTAAGGTGTACTGCACACCTCTGTTGAAATTTTGAGGAGTGACGTGAGGCTTAAGAAACTGTTCTTTTGTTGATATGTTTTGTTGATATTAGGTCATTGTCGCTGTGATATTAATGCTGTTTAATACCACAAAAAGGTTGTGTAATGTTTTCCATTATTCATTAATCCATTCATTCTTTACATAACAGATTACACAACTTATGCTACTACTTTTACAAAATGTCAAATTTGTTTATTTTGTTTACAATTTCATCATTTAGTATTAGTAGTATTTAGTAGTCTGGAATCTACCACAGTATGGCATTCATTTTATTGATGCATTTATTCTGTTTTCATTGCTGAAAGAATACCTTGAAAAACATGTATTCTTGCTGTGAGCAAGAAGACCTGTAACATGGCTTGGTGACTTCTCCTGCTTGTCTACCTGGATATAGATAAGTTTAATGCCATATTGTGGAACTTACCAAGCAAAGCATTAGAACTCCATGCAGACACTAAAATGTATTTGTGAATGGGAGCTGTGTCTATTCTTATCTGTTTTCTTTTGCTCACTTAAAGGGTTGTAATGTAAAAATGTGATTATCGTCTTTACCTCTGTAGTCTCTTATTATCAGATGTGTCACGAGCTGAGCCACAGGAAAACTGTACAGAAGAGAGATTAGCAGATTTCAAATGTGAACCAAGTAGCAACAAAAACAGCATTCCACTCTATGAAAGTAGATCATTAGCAATCAGGCAGGTTTCAGAATTTTTACTTTAAACAAGGAGTATTATACAAAACCAACCTTTTGGCGCTTTTTACCATGTTGTAATGTTCCCTCATCAAAAACATGCCGGAATAAGTTTTAGATGTCATCCATGCAGGTTTGAGTAATACTGTGATCTCTCGTGAGCCCTACTCGATCCCTCCTTACAGGTAGCTGTAAGATTTTGCCCCAAGCTCGTCCCACAAGCATTTATACAACTAAATCACCAGCAATTTTTCATAAATACAAAAGCAGGATACAAAACAATACACTGCAACCTCACAAACCTGATACAAAGGTGATTATGTACCATATACACAGCAATTGTAATCTGATGGCACACTGAAGGGGGAGTGACTTGTAGGGTATAGGGACTAAAAAGCACCAAAAATAAATTAAAATAAAATTAATGAATATTGTTCATTATTACGTTGTTTTCATTATCATATAGCATTTACAAAACAATAAATGATCAAAACATGTTATGTGTTAGCAGTTAATACCCCATCTTTAAAGGTGAATTGTATAAGTTTTTGCTAGAGGACAGACCATCTGGAGATTGTATTGCTTTGCCAGGATTGTTCATAGATAGGCATTAAAATTATCAGTACACATGCATTTCCATGGGACTTACTCAATACAATGACATTTTATAAAGAGCTAAAAACCTCAACATTTTAACGACTTGCTCCTAAAAACGTGCTAGTAATAACAGTAGCTTTTAACATTTTGCCAGTGAAAGTGAATTGCAGTAAAGTTTACCACTACAAAACTCCAAAGAACTGTCTGGACTAAAGCAGGAAAATAAAAACACTTAACCCAAGAACAGAAAGTGTAGTCTATAAAAATGTCTCTGCAAAAAGGGAGACAAAGACTTAACCACTGTCGCCTGAGGGCTCTGTGTGGTGAGGGAATGAGAGACAGAGAGAGAGAGAGAGAAGAGGATGAAGATAGGGGAGAAAGAGACGGAAAGAGAGAGTGGGAAAGGGAGGATGGGGAAAGGAGAGAAAGGAGAGGTAGAAATAGAGAGAAGGAAAGGGAGAAAGAGAAAGTAGGGGGAAGAGGAACATAGAGGGGTAAAAGAAAAAGAGTATGAATGAAAAGCATGTGTTGGCTGTGACTGTGTGTAGTAGTGACTAAGACTTCCAGGACCAGAGAGAGGGGAGGCAGCCAGACGCCTTAACCCAAAAACAAACACTGAAGGGGGGACAAAACTTCTCACCAATGAATAGTTCTGCTTTGCTTGGCATGTTCCGTTAGTATGGCCTTAAAAACACACGTAATTGAATAAATAGATCATTTCCTATGGAACATTCCCGGGAAAGCCATAACAGCTCCATGATATAATATATTATATATATATTATATATATTATATATAATATATTATATATATATATAACATGTTATAATGAGGAAATAACTGCTATAACTATAACTATAACTTCATTATAATGCATAGAGTTCATGAATTTGTTTGGTTTTATAAACTCTAAAACTTCCAACAACAAGAAAAAAATTGATTTTGTCACTGTTAAATGTTTGGTTATAATGAGATGACTTCCTCTGCCATGTGGTGGTGCTAGTGCACAGAGCAGCTAACACCTTTACAGCTTATTACCAAGGCTTTCAGAGAATAATTTATTAATAGGTACTAGTGTAGGTAGGTTAGGTACACACATGAATAAAATATTTTTTGGGCAGATTATTCAGTTGATGTATGTTTTGGTCAAACATATTTTGTATTAGTTTCCCCTTTAGTCGATCCACAAGCCATCTATAGGCGAGAAAATAAAATTTTATAATTCACTTAACTCCTCCATTTGACCTAACTCATTATTTCACCTGCAACTGTAACATGACTATGATTCATCACTGAGTCATAGCATAGCAAGCCCCTCCCTTTTATATAATGTATGATTTTAGATCACTCTACACCGGTTGTACATCAGAAAGAAATAACTCTTATTCAGTTATTCAAATGGATGCATTTTGCGCAGCTTTGACAGAGCCATTGCACTCTTTAATAAAGCTTGGAACATAAATATTACGTACATGTATCCCAGTTCAGTCTGATGCTATTGAAGTTATAGAGATTTTTAGATTTGTAATAAAAAGTACTGCCTCTGATCATTTGGACCAATACAGCAGGAGGCACCAAAGCAGAACTAAATCATGACTAAACCAGAACTAAACCCAATCTTAGATGAATCCTCTGTATTCTAACTGATGTACACATGCTTGTTTGCAGTGGAGCAGGTGGGAGGGTGCTAGCAACTACAGCAGCAGCAGATTATTCAAATCCTGCCCCTCCCCCACCTTCTCTCTCTCTCCTCCTCTCTCCTCTTTGCTCCATCCCTTGATCTCTCTCTCTCTCTCTCTCTTAGTGATGAAAATATATGATAGCGTCTACAGCCGCCTGGCTTTTGTGCGTACGTGTATTGCATGTAAATTTGTCTATTTTTTTTGTACGAGTTTTTTGGAGGGAAATCCGCAGTGTGTCAGTGGGCCATTGGTTGCAGCAATGTACGCGGAATATTAATCATTTTGAGCACCGCCTCTTTCTCGCCTCTCCTCTCTTCCACTCTCGACATCTCTCTTTACGATGGATGGAGATTTCTTTAACACCTAAACGACTCAAAGTCCAACATTTATTTTAGTTGGCGCTATTCTTCATGTTATTTTTGATTTGATCACAAGAAAACTGCTTCTTATTTTTGGAATTCCTGGATTTTTTGTGGAAAACTAACAATCGGCATTTTGGGATTTGAGCAAACGCAACGTGGAGTTTGACCTTGTTAGCAGCAAATTGTAATTTTTGGAAGTTTGAGTGCGCATAGAAAGCAAATAATTTCATCTGCATTTTGTGGATTACTTTCAAGAGGTTTTTCGAAATTTATTCTTAAATTACAAAAGAATAAGGACAACACTAGAGACAAGACTAGCATAAGAGGAGGGCTAAATTTATACTTAAAAAGCCACAATTTTCTTTTCTTTTTGAATATTT